TGTATTTTGTACAGTATCTTTCATGGGGAGTGCTCTAAGGAATTGTTTGAGATGATCCCTTAATCTCCTTTTTATCATCGCACCTCCCGCCATCGGAGCAGAGTTCATCCATATTATCTGGAACCACTGCGACAGTACGTTTTCAGAAATCTTTTATGCCACATACCATCCGCCTTTGGAATGAGCTCCTCTCCACGGTGTTTCCCGAGCGCTATCACAGTCATGTCCTTCTTCAAACGAGGCTTGTGGAGAGCATTAAGCGGTAGGCAGCGGCTTGACTCTGCTCCTGGCATTGCTGAAGTCCATGGGCGACGGTAACCACTCACCATCAGATTGACCGTAGGCTCGTTTGCCTACAAGGGCAATAAAAAATAATAATATAATATTAAAAGTGATATTTTGAATTTCTACGTATTGGGAACTAAATTTGATTGTTTGTTGGTTATCTAAGTGTTTCTATACTTACTTGTGAAGAAACTTAGTAGGTACAGTTATAGTTGGTACTCTGTTAAAATACTCTATAGTTTACGATTAGCAGTAGTCATAGGGGAGCGTGACCGGATTGCCTTTTGTTTATCACTGATAGCTTCTCAATAATTCATTTAAAACATATTTGAGGCCAACGCCTTAAAAGTTGTCAGTACTTTTCCGCACTTGGTTGTCTGAAAGCACTTGGAGAAAAATAGTGATGTGCGACATTCTGCAGATTTAATCGATAAAGATATCCCATAAGAATGGCCAATATTTAAAGACAAGCTTGTGAATCGTCAGCTTCACTAAAATAATTTTTGCTGCTTACTGTCGTCTAAATATTACAAATGTCAAAAAAAAATTTGCATTTGACACAAAAAAAAATTGAGATTAAAAAGATAAGGCTTGAAATATTATTTCGCTGGCTCAGCTCAGGAGTTTGGCTATCTGGTTAGCTGCTTGAGTAAATGAGAAACTTCATAAAAATTGTGTAAAATGAAATACTAAATTCAATAATATTGTTTTCTTTTCAATTGTGAATATTTTAATCAGAATCTTGTCAGTTCTTATTAGCATTTTATTAGCTAGTCAATAATTGAGAGTCCCTTTATTAAATCTTGTAAACATCTGCGACTCTTGCTAACAAAACAACATGGAATTTTAACTGAAGTTAATTTAGATTTGTCATTTCTATTTACGCTCAGATATAGTTTTGTTTATAATTTATTTAGTTATTTGTACTATTATGGTGGTCGGACACTATAAGGAGGACAGTTGGAAGCTGCATCCAACAGTCGGTTCATCTCGCAATGGTCCGGTACTCATGGAAGTACTTGCATAAGTCGTGTGGTCGCGATCTTCAGTAATGAAGGAACGAGAAAGAAGAAGATTTTTTTTTTCTTTATTGCATAGGTGGGTGGACGAGCTCACGGCCCACCTTATGTTAAGTGGTTACTGGAGCCCATCGATATCTACAAAGTTATAACGTAAATGCCGCCACTTACTTTGAGATATAATTTCTAAGGTCTCAGTATAGTTACAACGGCTGCCCCACCCTTCAAACCTAAACGCATTACTGCTTCACAGCAGAAATAGGCGGGGTGGTGGTATCTACCCGTGCGGATTCACAAGAGGTCCTACCAGCAGTAAAAGTTTTTCCTAGATTGCTTTGATTAACGTGTTCATTGCTGTTTATTATTTGCTACATATCATTTTATATAATAAATTAATTTTGTGAGAACCAAAATAAACAAAAAGTATCGATAATTATAAAGTCAATCATAATGTACAACACTAAAACAACAAAGAAACGATTCTGTTAAAATTCTATTAATTTTTTTTTTACTAACTCAGTTTTTCCTTAGGTGTATTAAAAATCTATTAATATTCAACAGCGCTCGCTCTCAAAGGATTCCTTTTCAAAAATTATTTCTTTATAATAATAACATTTTTACGTTTCTTAATTGTATTCCAGTTGACAAAGAACTTTGTTTCCAGTCGATTTCTGACGAATTTTGCCGACGTCAAAAAATAGTCACTCAATTTGTCCTCTCTTTTATTTTAAATGTGCACGGAAATTTCAATCGCTATCAAGGAAGAAGAATTTAAATTGAAGATTGTTTTAATCACTTGACAGCTGGTTCGCTGTTTGATTATACTGGCTGCGCTGACTGTCGTACAAATTTACCAAAAACATAATTATTATTTATCTGGTCACATTTAAATATTTTTCTATATAAATTTAATACTTGTTTAATACCCTCATAGCTTCCAACGTCAAAATTTTTTTATTTAATTTATTTCAGTGTCGTCTTGGCCTAAAGTATAAGAAAGACGTCCGGTGTATTCGTGTTGAGCGATGCACCGGTGTTCGAATCCCAGACGGGTACCAATTTTTCTAATGAAATACGTACTCAACAAACGTTCACGATTGACTTCCACGGTGAAGGAATAACATCGTGTAATAAAAATCAAAACCCGCAGAATTATAATTTGCGTAATTACTGGTGCTAGGACATCTTGTGAGTCCGCGCAGGTAGGTACCACCACTCTGCCTATTTCTGTCGTGAAGTAGTAATGCGTTTCGGTTTGAAGGGTGGGGCAGCCGTTGTAACTATGCTTGAGACCTTAGAACTTATATATCAAGGTGGGTGGTGCATTTACGTTGTAGATGTCTAATGGCTCCAGTAACCACTTAACACTAGGTGGGCTGTGAGCTCGTCCACCCATCTAAGTAATAATGTTGTCATAGTGAAGGTATAGGATGACATTTAATTGTAAAGTAAATGTGTCTGAAAATTTAAAGAAAAGTAGGAGAGCATGGGTACAATATAATGAAACACGTCCCATTGCACAATAAGTCATCATGTCAGAATAACGCCGAGCCCCACCTGGCTCTGAAGCCCTTTTATTATATTTTATTATTCGTAGCTCTGTGCGAGTGCCCTTTTGGGCTTTAATTAAAAAATACATTTTTATTCAGCGTCTTTGTGTTTAGGTTTTATTAATGTTAAAAAAAATCATTACGAGGTTGTCTAAGTAATGAGACTGTGACCGGTGCATGATTTAATGGTAAGTGGTGATTTTTATTTACTACTCTACTATGAAAATTGGCATCTTATTCCGAAAGAGATCCGGAGTGCTAAGAATAATTTTGTAAAGATTGGAATACGGAAAACTACTGGCAAGCTCTTTCGAATAACCAAAGGCGCTAATATTAATTTTAATATGTTAGATTAGTAATTAGTGCTTAGAGATGAGCAGTGATATTTTGGCGTAATTGAAATAAGATGAGCTTCTGTGTACGAACTTAATATCCGACTTGTCATTTCAAATTAGCAAGACGATAAAACTAAGTTTAAAATAAATGTTTTACTTAAATGGGCTCACAATACCTCCGGTCTCTATATTACGTATGGTAAAGTTGGAAAACTGTGATGAAGATGTTCTTGAGAAGCTCTTAATAGATGCCTCAGTAACGGCAAAGATTTGAGAAAACCAGGATCACATAAACCATATCTCCTGAGTGACTTTAAAATGTAATTCTTGGATAGGCATGTCGGGTGAAGGTATCGTTATACACACTTGCTGCGCCCGACATTGGGGCAAAATTCATTTTCCTATTTGGAAATTTCCTATCTATACTAATATATAAATCTACAGTGGTTTTTACGGATGTTCCGTTATAACTACTGAACCGTGCATCCGATTGACTTGAAACTTGGTATCTATGTAGAAAATACATGTACTTAATGTGAGTGTTGGACTCCCTAATAATAATAACAACAAATAATAATGTTAATTTTAAATGCCCAGGCGAGTACGGCTAGTTTATATGTTGTATCTTTTATTTATTCTATAGACGACGACATGACCTTTCGGAGCTCTCAGACCTTTTAGATTGCTAATGAATATACAATGCTACTTATCACTTTTGCTCTCCATTTTAACTACTTTTTTATATTGGTGTATTTAAACAAAAAAGCAGTAAATCTTAAACACTCACAGCGGAACATAATATCCACACATGAACCGCGATACTTGGCGAAGTCCCAGTTGGCGGTCGCCGGAATCACAGCCATAACCCTGCACGACCTACTTATTTAAGTATTTTACTCATCATTGAAGTTAGAGTATGTTAGCTCAGAGGATGCTATTGATCTTCATTTACATATTCGAAGGCGTACGAGTTCACTTGATGTTAAATGGCCAGTATGGTTCGAAAATATCAATAATGTGTACAGTTTAGTCAAGATGCTGCCGGTCACGGCTCTTTTGGAGTATATTTTGAAGAAGCATACGTTACTGTTAGTTATTATCGTAGAAAAGAGTTAATTCTAGAAGTATACGGTACTATAATTCCAGTTAGCCCTTTCAAGCATGTAGATATCACATCGTGGGTGCCGCCTCCATCTTGAACCGTGATGTCAAACTTTTCATGATTGGGTACAGCGGATGTCTCACTCTTGAACCCGACCAGGATGACTGCTTCGCGGTACAAGTAGGCAGGATAGTGGTACCTCAGCTGTTAGGTTCACTTCCTTTCCACCACCTAACATGACACAATATGTAACAATATTTATACAAATTTACACTTTTAGCGGTTTTGATTTATATTACATTTTTAAAATTCTTACATCGTGGAAGTCGGCTGTAATTATTCGTAAACACGTCTATAGGCGTACTATTTTCTTAGAAATAATTATACGTGTCTCCGAAATTTGAGCATCGGCAAAGACGTACCATTTAATATGGGTCCATTGGGCGTCTTCTTAGACCCAATGAATTAAGGTCGTCAGGTCCAGGTGAGCTTTCAATTTTATAGTAATAACAGATGTAACCTTAAACATAAATCGCAACGTCTGAAGACAACAGACCGGAATATTTCCTATTCATAGCCATAATTCTACTCTATCAGACATTATTGGCCGTCATTGTGAATCAGAAAAGAAATGGAGATTTTGGTAAAAAAAAAAAAACACTGGAAATTGATTTAATTTATTTTAATTAAGGCTTTGCGATATTAATGATCAGTTTCTGGGCACGAACTGTATATGCAAGGGATGATCGGCAGTGTAAACAAACCCTTTGCTTTCAATATGACAGTTGTTAGGCAGCGGTGACCCTTCTATGGGACGCAATTTAAAGTTCAGAATAATTGCAGATAATCCAAATTGTATCGTTTGATAGCCAAAACGTATACCTGCAGGAAATAAATAACAATGTACAGGTTAAATTATTTCAAAATAGGAGACAAACACTTCATTAGAATGTGTTTGTATCCATATTTGGAAGGGAAAAACAGTTTTACTTAGAGAAGGAGTACAGAGCCTTCGATTGACCATATACTTTAAAGTTAGAGACCGCATTGGTGTTTGGGTGGCCGTAATAATCAGCGCTTTCAACAAGGCACAGTCCTTACCTATACATTGTCTAGGACCTTCTCCAAAAGGTATGAAAGTAAACGGCTTGATATTGTTATTGTCTGTGTTGAAACGCTCCGGGATAAACTCTTCAGGTTTTGGAAATAGCTGAGGATCGGATTGGATCCCAGCCACGTTGACATACACCGCAGTTCCAGCTGGTACGGTCAGCGTATCGTCCACTTTGTAGCTTTGTGAAGATACCCGGTCTAACCAACCGAGAGACGGGTATTTCCGTAGGGTTTCTGTGGTCAGATAATAAATAATGTTAAAATTTTACTTTAGAAATTGGTACTTTTCTGCGGGATTCGTACACCGTTGTACCGTTTGATACGAATGCCCCGGTCGTTTTATCCTTTAGGCCACGAAAAAAGGTATTTTGAGTCCGGGCATCGTAGTACCGTACATTGGAGCTTTTTATTCATTAGAACATGTAAGATTTACGGAAGCGTCTTCCTTTAGTGCCTACGGAAGATCAACTTCGATTTCGAATAATATAAGATAGGCTCAATCTTCTCCAGTTTTATTTTTTATCATTGATTATCATTATACTGTGTCAACAATCTTGCCGTTGCCTTGTTACCCACCATTAATAACACAGTTAAGATATTGTAAGTTAGATAGTACTACTCCATCAAGTTCATTGCCCTCCATCTTCTGTTTGGCTTCGACTATTTCTCTATACAGACGTTCCTGAAACAAAAAAATATTTTTATTTAATAATAAGTGATAGGATTGACTGAATCTTATTAACGTCCTTTATGATTAGGTACCTGTATTTCTGGATTGTAAGCTAATTCATAAATAGCAAAAGTAATTGCTGACGAGGTCGTTTCAAATCCAGCTTGAACAAACAATGTTGCTTGCGCAAATAATAGGTCTTCGTTGTAAACTGAAATTTAAGAACGATTTTACCATGAGATTTAGTTGCATCAAGACTTCCAATTTGACTATTGCAGTAGTTGAACAATTGTGCTCCTTTTTCACTTGGTGTTTGGAAGTGGTGCTTGGAACCCATATCTATACCTAGTCAGGTCATAAGTATTGTCACACAGTAAAAATTTTTCTTTTAGAATGCTGGCCACAAAAAAGTTTATTGAATTCGAATTTCGAATTGTTCATGAAAATAAAAATGTATACTTTTATAATTTTACTCATTTTTAAATATGGAGTGGACGCTTAAAGAAGACCGTGTTGCAGTTATTGCGTTGCATCGTTGCGGTTACGCGCCAATTCAAATTTTTAACATACTGAAAAATTTNTAGCTTATTGTGCCGAGATAGGTAATCATTAAGAAAGCCATGCCGCGACCAACACGATCAAATCTTTCCCGACGAAACCGTAATGCAACTAGGATTCGAAACTTTGCGAGTGAAAGGACTGAAGAAGAACAAGAAAATATAATAATAATAACTAAAATACATGGCCAATAAAGAATCATTAAAATACTTGCTTTTTTAATTTACATTAAATATCCAAATAAAAAATTGACCTTGATCAAAAGTCTGCTCATTTATTGCCTCTAAGGCGGAATAAAGTTCGCCGGGGTCGCTAGTATATAATAAAATGAATGCTTCCGTGTACCTTGACACACATATGAGGTAAAGATCCCAATTCTAATGCAATACGTTATACATTGCCAAAAAAGGCATTGTAAGTTAACCGTTTGAGGTCCAGAGTTCACTGATATTGGACATATAGTATAACATTAGTCCCAGGACCGCAATGGGTTAATGTCATGTTGAGCAAGCATTAAGCACAATTTAAGTCTATGATAAAGGTACAAATAATGTTATGGCAAAAACTGTTAATTAAATTTGCACGTTACCTTCATTCTCTGCAGCTGCCTCTATTTTCATGGCCATCAGAGCATCAAGTAGATCTTTACTCTTTCCCGAAATGCTTTGGCTTTTACTCCGTTCAGCAACCATCGTTCTGTATATTTTCCTAAGAATTTTCAAAGATTCTTTCGGGAACAGTTTACACCTGAAACATTTAGTATGTACTTGATATGTAATTTCCAGGTGATTTGCCACCAGTGCGGGTATCTGGACGATGACGCTCAGCACGCACTCGAAGCGTGCCCGCGTTGGGAGCACTCGCGGCGGGACCTCATCGCGGTGCTGGGGAGAGACTTCTCCTTGCGGGATGTCATCGCCCGCATGCTAGAGGACCAGAATTCTTGGGACGCCATGACCAGGTTTTGCGACCTGGTCATGGCGTTCCGTGAGGCTGAGGAGCGCGAAAGGGAGTGGGATCCCTCTTCGGCTTCTCAGCGAAGAAGGCGGAGTGGGCGGCACGGGCGCGAAGCTCCCGTTCATCTCCCGTAGGGGCTGTCGGGTGCCGGGTGCGGGGGCGCCCGGTACTCGGTTGTCGGTCCGATGGTGAGGCGGTGCAAGGTGACTTCTGTGCACCGCTCACGGTGTGTCTCCCGAGACGAAGTCCTGCGGGATCTTCCCGGGGATGGAATCCCATCCTGACGTCAGGACGGATACTGGTGACGGCGAACCTTCAGCGCGCACTGTGCGGTACCGTGGGTTTCGTAGAGTCGGAGTGGTGGAGCTCGATGGGGTTTAGTCGGTAGTCGGTTTTGCGGGGTAGCTCTTGCGTGGCTGATACCGTGCAGCGTCTCGCGCGTCTTTCTCAAGGCGTAGTCTCCCGGCAGGAATTGGAAGAGGACCCAGGTCTTCCTCTTCTCCCTCTTCTTTTCTGGAGGCGCCGGAGTCCGACATAACCCGGTCTGTTACCCCTCTCGACCGGGTATCCGTAAATGTATTCCCCGGCGTGAAAAAAAAGGTGATTTTGGTCAGACAATCAATTTCGGTGTTCGGAGAAGGCTCATTAATATAAGAATAAATCAGGAAGAGCACCGTCAGGCTCAATCTGGGTAAACTAATTTTTTTACAACACGTCTCTACCGAAGCTGCAAAAGCAAAAGACTTTAACCTAAAAAAATCTGCTAGTTCCGGGAAGAAGAATATACATGACCACTGCAATCCTCTCAGCCAGTCAAACTTCATGAAATCTTTAGTGACCTCTCTCATAGCACTCTCTCCAGTTGTTATTGAATTACTGCTGACTCCAAAGGCGGCTTCTCCGAGAATGTCCGTGCTATAATCAACGAACAGTGACTGCAAAAAAATCACATATTATATTATTACTAGTGACCCGCCCTCACTTCGGAAACTGTAATTTATTATTGATTTTTCCACTATTTAATAGATGTTATTATACATATAAACCTTCCTCTTCAATCACTCTATCTATTAAAAAAAACGCATCAAAATCCGTTGCGTATTTTTAAAGATTTCAGCATACATAGGGATATAGGGACAGAGAAAGCGACTTTGTTTTATACTATGTAGTGATAACGCGGTTGCTAGTCATGAGAAGGCAACCTCTGTTGAAGCTACAAGATGCGTAACCTTGAATTTAAATAGCAGAGTGGTTGGTTGTTGGTGTACAGTGATCCGACCCGGTAAAGTGGTTCCCGTTGAAAATACCTTTATAAAGGTTTATCAACGGCACCTTCTGGGATATCCGAACTCGGCAGGATCAAGTCGTGGAGCCGTTATCGCCGATGGCTTCGTTAGTCAGGTGTCTTTGATGTGGTGGTGTAGACTAAAAGCGCCTTCCCTACCTCCCCCGTACGAGGCAAATTCACGTAGGGTAAGAGTGCAGGGGATTCGTTTACTGGATTTCTTAAGCTATCTTGCTTATTTTACTGGTGGTAGGACCTCTTGTGAGCCCGCGCGTGTAGGTACCACCGCCCTGCCTATTTCTGCCGTGAAGCAGTAATGCGTTTCGGTTTGAAGAGTGGGGCAGCCGTTGTAACTATACTGAGATCTTAGAACTTATATCTCAAGGTAAGTGGCGCATGTACGTTGTATATGTCTATGGGCTCCAGTAACCACTTAACACCAGGTGGGCTGTGAGCTCGTGCACCCACCTAAGCAATAAAAAATAAAAAAGTCCTGAAGATTTCCGTTTCGGCATAGCAGCAATGGCAGGTTTGGTCTTGGCCCAAAAATACCAAAGTATAGTGAGTGTTACCGGCTCAGCGATGCTAAAAGTAGCAACTCAGTTGGTATTTCGACGCTGACCTTCCACCGGTATTAAGTGGCCCATGAGCTCCTTTCTCACTAGCCAGTAAAAAGATAATGGAAATACTTTACAATTTTCATTTTCAGAGACGACTAATTAAAAATCAAACCAAAATTTAGACCTAATCCTTCTATCTGATTCACATCTGATTACGTGAATGCTCACTCTCAAATTTATCTTAATATTTTTCTCAGTGTCTTCTTTTATTCGTTTCTTTAGATCGTTAGATTTCCTGATGAGTATTGGGTATAATGCTTGTAATTTTAATTTTGTGAAGACAGGAGTCAAGCGACGTCGCACGGAAGACCAGACTGGATCCTGCAGAACAGATTTTTTTGGTTGCATTATTGTCACATGAACTAGTAGTTTAGTATTACAAGTTATAGGGGGTTTTGGGCCTTCGCGTTTGTTGGGAACACTATTCATTCTGTTTCTGTTGCTAAAATGTCTTTAACTAACATTTCTATTTCTTCTGCGAAGCAACCCTGAGCTCCGGTTTGAAGGGTGCCAGTGCTATGAGACTTCGATTTTATCTCTTAGCGGACAACAACATTTAGATTGTGCTGAATTCCGGTAGCTACTTAACATCAGGTGATCTGTGAGTTTGTTTGTCTATCATAACTCACAAAAACGTTATCAAGAAGTTGACATAATGGCCACTCGAACTTTTGGCTTTGTTGTCGAGTAATGTTTCAATTGAACCATATAAATAATAATAATAATAAAACTAACATTAATCATAAACAGGTTCAGTGCTCCAACAGGATCCGACTTGCCGGCATTCGAGAATCTGTTTCTGAATGTATCCGCGTCCTTAGTAAGAATCTGCCGCGCGAGTTCCGGAGAATTGATGATCAAGGCTGGTTTCCAAAACAACCATATTCCAATGTAAGGAAACGGAAACTTCTTGTAAAGTTTTATTAGCCAAATGGACTGAAAGAAAATACAATCGTATTTTTTTTTATGTTTTTTTATTGGAGTTTACTCCTTTAGAATCGATTTACATATATAGGCCCGGGGTATGAAAATTATGGGGACCAAAATCGTACTAGTATGTCACACGAAATGCGTTATGCGCCTGATTGGCTCCTGATTGCGTGATGCGTGCGCGCGCCAATCAGGAGCCAACGCGCGGCCGCGTTATCGCAGGTGACGCCGGGCTGCTGCGCCGGCAGTCCGCCACAAAGCCTCGTACTGATCGCGCGTTTCTCTCATTATTGTATTTTCATATATTTGTTAGTCGTTTGTTTTGTGTCTCGTTAATTTGTTAATAATCTGTAGTGTATCGTGTTGTCGTAATATAGAACTATTTCTCGTATTGTTTCGTTTAATTTTTTATATCCAGTAAACTCCAGTCGTGCGTCGGAGCGGACACACACACTTTTTTTTTTTTATTGCTTAGATGGGTGGACGAGCTCACAGCGCATCTGGTGTTAAGTGGTTACTGGGGCCCATAGAATTCTACAACGTAAATGCGCCACCCATCTAGAGATATAAGTTCTAAGGTCTCAGTATAGTTACAACGGCTGTCTCACCCTTCGAGCCGAAACACATCACTGCTTCAAGGCGGAAATAGGCAGGGCGGTGGTACCTATCCGTGCGGACTCACAAGAGGTTCTACCAGTAAACGTTCGAATACCGAAGCTAGATACGAACTTTGTTCTTTCTTTGTGCGACACTTTATTCTTAGTGTCTTCTATCTGAATATGTTTTAAACTATCATAACCACAGTTAGTTAGTGCCCTCCGTTTAATCGTACCTAATAAGAGTAATAATATACCTTATAATGGTTCATGTTCGAAGGTGGTCAGTGACCTTCACATCATACGGTAGGCAGCGGCTTGGCTCTGCCCCTGGCATTGCTGACGTCCATGAGCGACGGTAACCACTCACCATCAGGTGGGCCGTATGCTCGACTGCCTATACGGCAATAAAAAAAAAACCAGCAATATGTAGGTGGTTCCGTAAAAGCAGGTGCCCACCGTCAGATATTGAGAACAATGAAATATGGCTGAAACTTACAACCGAAAAAGTATTAGTTAATTATTATAAATGTTTCTTGTTAACTTTCTCCTCGCGTCCGTTCTGCAGAATGTTTTCTCGAATCACAGCGAAACAAAACTTCACTCTTACTTTTTAAACTATTTTCCAAGCCGTTGAACTATGTGACTTTTTAAATTCATTAGTAGTTAGTGACAAAAATAGCTTACAGGATTTTCCTTTTGCAGGAATGTCAGGCTTCCCAAGACTGGATGAGGTGGCTCATGCGGTACATTTCTCGCGGCCCAATAGCTCTTTACTTGCTGCCAGCGAATTAACCACCACGTTAGCAGCAAAAGTATAAAAATAAATATGATGATGAACAGCATCTTCTGTAATCAGAGCATTTACAAATAATAGCTGCATAGACTGTAGAGCTGTCCTCACTGAAGACTAAACTGGTCTAGACTGCACCAGATATCAAGATGCCTTGTACCTTGAATTTTAGTCACAGCCTATTTCCCTAACAAAACGGTGGAGATGTAGAAGAAAAAAAAAAAGCTCTACCAATTCACCTCGGTTCAATGAAACATTTGAATGGATCGCTTGAAATGTTCAATAATTGAATGTGGCTCTGCAGCGTGTCTCTCACGACAGTATCGCAAACAAACTAATTATCAAAAATAAAAATCATGTATTTAGTTATTTTATATAACCGACAGTACATTTTGTCTTATGAAATGAAGCTCTCCATTAAATGTAGAGTTCCGTAGGTTGATTGTTTTTGTATGGTTCGTGATTATCTTTTGTGTTATTCTAGATAGACATATAAACCCATAGATACAGCCCATTAAGTTTCTCGCCGGATCTTCCCAGTGGGTTGTGATTACGATCCGATGGTAGATTCTGCGAATCACTGCTCTTGTTAGGGCTAGTTTTAGCAAATTCTCTCAGGTTGAACCCGTGAGCTCATCTACCCGTACGGGCGTAGGTAGGTAATGGGATACCAGCGAATAGGAAGGAAAAAAACACAATAAAATCAAAGCTTACCTGTTGTTGAACTCACGGATCTAAGAACCTGAAAGCGGTACCCAAGTTGAAACCTAATCTCAAACACTCTGTTCTGTAGCGGCTGTCACAGGGCCCAAGGACAACTGCAAGTTCAAGTTGTCATTTCGCATTTACACTCCAAATTACCTATATACAATAGAGTGTACCGCGTTCTCAGAAAAATTCAATTTTGACAAGTGATCTGCAATTATTCTCTCACGGTCGGACCAGACGTATTTCGAGTCCTATCGCACTCTGGGTTATCAACTCACTTGTTCTTATCTTTTTACTGCACAAGGTCGACTTTAAAATGTGCAAATTTTACAGACAATTACAATAGAAAGTTTAATACATTATGTAACAGGTTACTGGTAATAGCTTTCTGCTTAGGATGTGATCTAGGTCTGACGACTTACCGTGACTCGTCCCAGAACCACATCCGAAGGTCTTGGTCGAGGATGAGTATCCTTCACATGTCATAGGTCATTGTCACTATCTTCCAGTTTTTTTATATGAAAGAGGAAACTTTTCACACTATTTAAATTTTATACGCGTACTGATGCGGCGACAGCGGCTTCGCATGACAAACTCTCTTTCTGTTGTTTTGCCGCACTAACAGGCAGGCAGGTTGTGGCCCCGGTCGTGGACGGGCTTGCGGTGCGCACTCTGCGTGCTGTGGGTCTCGTCTGCGGGGGAGTTGCTGGACTTCGACCGGGCGCGTCCGTAGGTGGCGGATCACGGGCCTCTGGGCAATAGTCACAAGGGCATCGCTCCTTCTCTCCCGTTGTGTTACGGCGGGAGAGATTGCGCGACGCGGACCAAAACCAGCACCGGGGGCTACACGCTCTCCTCCCCCTTCACCTGCTGAAGGGTGGTTCTTCTGGAGATGCGTGGGCCTCCACTTTTTTCCCTTTTCTTTGTTACTTTATTGTTTTGTTTTTACTGTCCCTTGGTTATTTTTATTGATCTTAAGTTTTACCCTGTCTCTTTCTCTTCTTTTGTTTCCGTTCATTGNGGGATTTTCCCGGGGATGGAGTGCCGTCCTATTAACAGGATGGGTACCGGCGACGGCGAGCCTTCGGCGCGCACTGTGCGGTACCGTGGGTTTCGTGGAGTCGGAGTGGTGGGGCTCGATGGGGTTTAGTCGGTAGTCGTTCTGCGGGGCAAGTGCTTCGCGCGCCTTTTTCAAGGCGTAGTCTCCTGTGAGAAATTGGGGTAGGTGAAGGACCTCGGCTCTTCTCTTCTCCCCTTCTTCCTCTCAGGAGGCGCCGGAGTCCGACATAACCCGGTCCGTTACCCCCCTCGACCGGGTATCCGTAAATGGATTCCCCAGCGTTAAAAAAAAAAAAAAGGCAGGTTGTGGCGCTAGTGCCGCGCCGAAGAACCATTCCCACCGAAATAGTGCATCCCGATACACACAATATGTCGCAGACCCGGTACAAGAAAAAAACGAAATGAATAATACATATAAACCAAATTGTGTCGCGTTACGTACTCAGAGAACAAAAAAAAAGAAATTATTCACAATAAAAAATAATAAGAATATAAATATGTATTTTACAAGAAACCGTTACGACAGCTTCTGCGACTGACACGACAGCTTCTGTTCGCAGAAGGGTACCTTGCCATGTGTTTTTTTTTTATTTTTTTTATTGCCTTTGTAGGCAGACGAGCGTACGGCCCACCTGATGGTAAGTGGTTACCGTCGCCCATGGACTTCAGCAATGCCAGGAGCAGAGCCAAGCTGCTGCCTACTGCTTAATACTCTCCACAAGCCTCGTTTGAAGAAGGACATGTCATAGCGTTCGGGAAACACCGTGGAGGGGAGCTCATTCCATAGCCGTTGCTGTTTGTTGTTGTGAGGCCATGTTGCCTGTTTCTACCACGAAGCCATCATGTTTTTTGGTTTAAGCGGTGAGCCAGTTATACTACAATAAAATGGAGACCTGCACATGTCTTTGACCGGGACCCGTGAGTTCCAGAGCACGCCAGTAGGACAATAAATAAATTTCAACACACAACACGTTTTTACTATTAAAATTTCCGTTTATTTGTTAGAAAAAAAACGATAAATGGACGAAACAGGCCGGGGCTCGTGAAAGGCCAAGGAATTACTGTAATGACTATCGTTATAACGATTATTAGAAGGGACCACCTAGTGTCAAAGGGTTATTGGACAGCAAATTTATACCAATAAAGAGGAAAAAAAGAGGCTTTTAGACCAACATTACTTAAATTACCGTTTCAACCCTTTCGAGGTACCAAGGCCCACCCTAATTACGCAGACGTTAAAAGATTAATTACAACTGGACGTTTGAGGATTAAATACTTGGGAGACTCTATTGGCTTTAAATTTACGGCCTAATTAGGTTTCCCCTGAACTTTCTTAAGTAGAATTTCGGGGGTCGGACTTCGGAGTTGAAAATGATAATTCGGCGTGCGAATTTGGTGGCTAATGTAGTATTTTAACCGAGTGTCCGGGAAAGGCGTATATAGCCTAATTCGTCTTGTGGTTTGATAGCTTGCTACTGGACCGTGGGATCCGGATCAGCGTGCTTAGTTTGAGTTTTTTAACGTTCTACATAGCGTAAAAGTTAACTCTATTTTGTATGGAGTTGTAACGCTATGTACCTATGTATACTGGTGGTAGGACCTCTTGTGAGTCCTCTTGTGAGTGTGGTGGTACCCACCCGTGCGGTCTCACAAGAGGTCTTACTACCAGTAAATTAGCTGTGTTACGGGTCATAGAGACTGACATACATACTTATATAATATAGTATTACTTATATACTACTATCTATAAATAAATATAAATAGATAATAAACAGCGAGACAAAAAGCAAACAAACCGGTTCATCACACGAACGTTTACCCGATGTGGGAATCGAACCATGACCTTCGGTGCGGCAGATAAGGGCGTTAGCGACTGCACTATCGAATCAGTAGCAGTTTAAGAAAGTTGGTATCTGCCTTTGGGATTTGAATTTTGGCATAATAGCATCGCACCACGCCAGCATATCCTGCGTCCAATCTATTAAGCCATAACGATCATTCACAACTGTATAGTTTTACTTTTAATTTCAAAATACAAACCTATTTGTGTATTCACTGACATGAGGTTTTGAAAACGACAAAAAGACATAATTTTTGTTCATCTTCAACAGTTCAAAATTAATCCACTGCTGCATAGAAAACCTTTTCTAGTAAGGGTCATTCAGTGAAATTTTCTTACGTAACCTATTTAATTAACAAAATGCAGTAAATCATGGAACGCCTTATGAAATTCAATGAGCGCTCCTCTTCCATCTGACATAGATATATACAACGTAAATCTTTCACGTTCGGCTGGAGTGCTGGCGAAATGTATTATATAAAACTCTGTCGTATATAAACTGGAGCTTGTATCGAATTTGTAATTCACTTTAAATTAGCATTTTAATTTTAGTACAAGATTTGAACTATGAAAAACGTACCTGTGTGCTTTGATAAAAGTTCACTAGGTCCTTGCGGATAATTTTCTTTGAAAACTAAACGTAGATATGTATATCTTAAACGCATGAAGCGCACGTCATAACGTGACAGTTTTTTTATTTTATTGCTTAGAAGGGTGGACGAGCTCACAGCCAATCCGGTGTTAAGTGGTTACTGGAGCCCATCTACAACGTAAATGCGCCACCCACCTTGAGATATAAGTTCTAAGGTCTCAAATATAGTTACAACGGCTGCCCCACCCTTCAAACCGAAACGCATTACTGCTTCACGGCAGAAATAGGCAGGGTGGTGGTACCTACCCGCGCGGACTCTCAAGAGGTCCTACTACCAGTAAACAGTACAGTTTACAGTGAAGTCGTCGTGGCTTAAAGGATAAGACCTCCGGGACATTCGTATCTAGAGATGCAACGGTGTTCGAATCCCGCAGGCGGGTACCAATTTTTCTAATGAAATACGTGTTAACAAATGTTCACGATTGACTTCCACGGTGAAAGAAAAACATCGTGTAATAAAAATCAAATCGCAAAATTATAATTTGCGTAGTTACTGGTGGTAGGACCTCTTGTGGGTCCACACGGGCAGGTACCACCACCCCGCCTATTTTTGCCGTGAAGCAGTAGTGCGTTTCGGTTTGAAGGGTGGGGCAGTCGTTGTAACTATACTGAGACCTTAGAACTTATATCTCAAGATGGGTGGTGCATTTACGTTGTAGATGTCTATGGGCTCCAGTAACCACTTAACACCAGGTGGGCTGTGAGCTTGTCCACCCATCTAAGCAATAAATAAATAAAAGTACATGCGATTAAACAGTTATGACAATTTGAAACTTAGATGCAGTGTTATGACT